CCTTACATCCCCTGTGTATACACCGAGTCCTTACATCCCCTGTGTATACCCCGAGTCCTTACATCCCCTGTGTATACCCCGAGTCCTTACATCCCTGTGTATACCCCAAGTCCTTACATCCCTGTGTATACCCCGAGTCCTTACATCCCTGTGTGTACCCCGAGTCCTTACATCCCCTGTGTATACCCTGCCTCACATGTCACCCCTCAATAAAAATGTGATGGTCAGGAGCTGCCAACAGTCTTGGGAGGCTGCCCTCCCCCAGTGTCTTGACTCTCCCTCAAGATTCCACAGAGGGTGTCCTGTCTGGAAGCCATTCTCAGGGTCACCTGGGATCATAATGTCCCCAAAGTCAGTGGCTATTTCTGACCCTTGCCTCACTACTCCACGGCAGCATTTGATTCAAGCAGCCTTCTCCTCCTCCTGTTCTTTTTCTTTCTTTCCTTTCTTTTTTTTTATGACAAGATTTCTCTGTGTAGCCCTAGCTATCATGGACCTCACTCTGTAGACCAGGCTGGCCTCAAACTCACAGAGATCCACCTGCCTCTGCCTCCCTGGTGCTGGGATTAAAAGCGGGTTCCATCATGCCTAACCTCTCTTTCCTTTCAATGCCTCTTTGACATATGGGGTCCATGTTCTGGCCTTTTCCTCAATCTCTCTATCTCTCTCTTGGGCCCCTTCATAGTTTTTCATCCATGCTCTATACCTGTAGTTCATTTTATTTTACCCCATTTTTATTTTATGTGTACGAGTGTGTTTGTACATGTATGTGCACCATATATGTGTTTGAGTGTGTTTGTACATGTATGTGCACCATAGATGTGTTTGGAGCCTGCAGAAGTCAGATCCCCTAGACCTGGAGTTACAGATGGTTGTGAGCTGTCATGTGGGTTCTGGGAAGTAAGCCTGGATCCTCTGCAAGAAGAACATGTGCTCTTAACCACTGAGCCACGTCCCCAGCCCCAACCTGTAGTTCTTTCTTACCCAGGATGAACTGCCACTTGGAGACATTTGTCTAGAGACATGGTGGAAGGGCGAGACGTGCTTAGCAGGGGGTAGCCAAGGACGGCACTGACCATCACCTATCCAGACAGCACCCCACAGGACGGCACTGACCATCACCTATCCAGACAGCACCCCACAGGACGGCACTGACC